CATGCTAGTAATGATTTTCGCAGATTTGATTCCTTGTTTGCCGAGATCCACGGGGCGCCGCCGCGGCCATGCATGCATGCACCAGGCCGTTCACTGAGGGTAAAAAATACTACTAAAAATTAATTATCAGGTTCGGCCTCGTTTCCTCTGATCTGTGCTGCGCTGATACAGTCCTTCCCCAGACGCGCAAAAAAAAGACCTCTCCCACTAATCCCGATATAACAGATTCTTGACTGAACGAAACAGCATGCTGTCCGCAGATTGAGTACTAAAATTAAAAATTAATAATAATCAGGGTAGATCTACACAGTCATGTATCACTCAATCTGCGGACATGCTGTTTCGTTCTTTATCATGTAGAACATCTACATGTATGCGAGCAAGCAGGTGACAGAGACGGAATCATCACGTGTGGCGTAGTCTATTCGACACGATCGAACTCACCATGCAGTTCGATCAACACTACAGTCACCTGTCGCCAGAGTCCTGCCTGTCCTGGAGCGGGTGTCACTTCAAACAGCCTGCCTGCCACCAACTCTCCACTCAAACTCGGTCGTCCTCATCGCCGTCCCACGCCACATTCGAGCCAGCAGAGTTGAGTCGGACTGTCACAGAGTGTGTGACTGGGAGGATTACTTATTGTGTCGCCAGCTGGCTGTAGCAGCTGCAGCAAATTTATTCGGCCCCGAAAACCGATTGATGTTTTGAATTATCGCTTTTCGATAACTCACGTTTTTGGAGTTGATGAATAAGACGCAGCGATTTGTCAGGAGTCGCAATGTTTCCCCCGATTGACCCTAGTTTAAGCGACAAAGTTCGACAAACGCCTAGCGGTTTGGCGAGTTCTTGCTTGTTTTACGGTGAGTTTCTCGGGGAGTGTGCGCGCTGTTTGGAAAGATGTCGCTATGAAACGACCAATTTTCGCTAGCACAGTGTTTGAAGGAGATTTGCCACGTATGAAAAATCTGCCGGCTCGGGCCGATATGTCAGAACGCAAGTCATCGCAACACTCCAGAAGCTGGGATTTTGTTGTTGTGGCTTCTCCACCGAAGTTTTCTTTGTTTGCTTTGGAGCGGGACGCTGTGAAGAACTTTGTTTGAGCAAGATGAATCTCTTCCGTTTGGCTGGGGACTTGTCCCATTTGTTGGCCATTGGCGTTTTGCTGGCCAAAATGTGGACGAGTCGTTCTGTGTCTGGTGAGTATTTTGTGAATGATGATTTGTACTATTTCGTCACGTACTTATGGAATAGTGGAATTGAATTTGGAGAAATTGGTTGGATGTTATCATCGGTGCGTGCTATGGTTGTGCAGGAATATCGGGCAAGAGCCAGGTGATGTTCGCCATGGTATTTGTCACCCGCTACTTGGACCTGTTCACCACATTCATCTCTGTCTACAACAGCGTTATGAAAACCGTATACATTCTTGGAACGTTCTTCACGATTTACCTGATTTATATGAAATTCAAGGCGACCTATGATGGAAACCATGATACGTTCCGCATGGAGTTCCTCATTGTTCCTGTAGCCGGTCTTTCCGTGCTTGTCAACCACGAGTTTACTGTCATGGAGGTACGGAAGTGCAATTGATTTGTTTGTACATTTTGAAATGAATGATTGTCCTTGATTTGTACATACCGTAAAGTCGCGGATAAAAGCCGGGCTTATAAGCATATAAGCCGCTTTCTGCATCAGGCTTTAATGCAAACCATGCTTATATGCACCACTGATATGGTAGATCTACGCGTGTCGCGTAGATCTACCACTGACTACCGGTATGGCGGCAGTTTTACTATGCACTGTACATAGCGCATGCACTCTTGACCTACCCGATCCGCGCTTGCATAGAAGCCAGGCTTCTACGCGCGACAGGCTTATATGCATTTGACCCGTTTGATTTTCAGGCTTCTATCTGCGATTTTCTTGTATGCAAACCCGGCTTTTATCCGCGACTTTACGGTAATTGTGTAGGCCTGCAACGCGTAGGGCACCTTGAATCCATACATTGTGCTGTTTGGTTCGTGAGTGATCAACGATCTCCAGATTTTTGTGGGCTATCGAGGTGAAATTCTAACGAATTCCGTCTCGAAACGGGCAAATGACTGTACATGTACATATCGTTTTCTACATAGCAACTTCAAATGTTAACGGATTGTTTAAATTCGTTAAATCGTTAGAATTAAATGTCGGTAACATTACTGGTCTTACAGTAGAAGGAGCAGCGTGCTAGGGCACCATGTCATGTTCTCTACTGTAGGTCCAAATTCTCGGCGCTTTCGAATTTCAGCCTCCGAGTCCCAGGGCTAACACACATTTCGGCTACTTACACACACACACACACACACGGACGGTTGCATCCGATATAATTTCGTGGTTCAACACCACTGTTAACATTCAGGAACTGATTGTCTAGCTCATGACAACAGCCGATGAGTGAAGCTCGGCAGTTGCAACAGACACTGTCTTCTCGCTGTACATGAGTATAATTATCAGGACCGGAATAGACCCTGCTCACAATGCACTGTAATTTCCATGCTGCAGCACATGTTTTCCTAAGCCGTACTGCGGACAATACCTCAAGTTTCCGTCAAAAATGTGGACAAGCACGGGCGTTTGGCAGCACTGCTGTTGCCAATGCTGTATGTTCATGCTTGGATGTTATGCATGGATAAGGAGACCACCTGGTAACAGAGACCGGGTTTTGAAGGTCCCTTGAGCGGTCGTCTTAGACAGGTCTGCGTATATGTTGAAAGATTGTCTGGTGCTCAGGATGACCTGCCTCTAACATCAACAGTACATACCCCCTGGGCGGGGGGCCCAGAGTGTGCAATTCCAGTTATGGAGTCTGTGACGCAGAGCTTCACATCACATGACGAACCCGTACCCATTATTTGCACCATGTGCATGATAGATGCAAGGCTGTACGCAACTCTGCTTTTGGTTGAACTCTATTGTGGTCAACTAACTTGCCTGTTTGCCTGCGTAAACATTTGAACCATGTCGCGTGATGTGAAATTCTGCCGTCGCAGCACTGCATGGAGGTTGTGCAGGCAGTTGCACACTCTTGGGGGTTATGTACTCTTGCTAATATTTTAATACTGGTGGTCGTTGTACATGCGGATAGGTTTCTAATGTGTGTTGAAACCATGGTAACGTGGTCTGGTGACAGTCTTGACTGGTCTCTGAAAACAGGCGGTCTTTGTAGACAGGTTCATGCGTGTGTTCAACTCATGGTAGCGTGGTCTGGTGCCTGATATTTCTGACTCTCTATACAACGGTGGTCTCTTTTAGTCTTATTACAATGGTTGTTGTACACTGTCACAGGTAGGACCGCTCTCCAAGGAGCAATGGGCTGCTGTATTGACAACCCGACTGAAGGCATGCTGTGACAATGGTCCACAGAACTGCTGAGCCGGATTGTAATCGCTGTGTGTATCCAGGCAGTGTGTTGACGTTTCCGTTGTGTTGTCTTCCTTTTCCTCGTCTCGTCTCGCAGATCCTGTGGACGTTTAGTATCTACCTGGAGTCGGTTGCCATTCTGCCACAGCTATTCATGATCACGAAGACGGGCGAGGCGGAAACGATCACGTCGCACTACCTGTTCGCACTGGGCGCGTACCGTGGTCTGTACCTGGCTAACTGGATCTACCGCTACTACACGGAGGGTTTCTTTGATCTGATTGCCATCGTGGCTGGCTGTGTTCAGACTGCCCTCTACTGTGATTTCTTCTACCTGTACATCACCAAAGGTAAGAGTAGCTATGCCGGATGCTAATAGTTCAAGCTGCAGCATCCCATCCTTTACTTCAAGCTGTGGCTGTGTGTGTGTGTGTGTGGTACGTGGTGTGTGTTTGCCTGGAGATGTGCACCTGCATGTCTCTCTCTCTCTCTCTCTCTCTCTCTCTCTCTCTCTCTCTCTCTCTCTCTCTCTCTCTCTCTCTCTCTCTCATTTATACCTTTGGCTACAGCCGTAGCTTGTACAAATTTGTTTACCTGAAAGACTCCAACCCTGTTGTGATCCTTTAACTTCTCTTGCCTATGTACGTCTTATTGTCTTTTAGGGCGGAAGTGAATTTTATGAGACCTTTGGGCTGACATGTTTACAGTGCCGGATCTGTATTTCTGGTTGTCAGTGTACTGTTGACACCCAAAAGCCACCTCCCCCACCCCCTGAAATATCATGAAGAGAGAGGGAGAGGGAGGGGGGGGGGGGGTAAGCGTGGCTCGTATACATGTAACTGTGTGCTGCTTCTCTCTCTGTCTGTCTGTCTGTCTCTCTGTCTCTCTCTCTCTCTCCCAACGCACACTTGTATGCACTGGTGAGCTCATTGCTGGTTGTTTCCTTTTCTTGCTTGTGTTTGTGTGCAGTTGTGAAGGGCCAGTCATTGACGCTGCCAGCATAAATCCCTTGTCTTGCTTTTATGACCTGGTTCGGGTCGAGGGTGTCCGCTCCATGTCAAGTTGAACATAAAATATTTCGCCTACTAGTATCTGGTGCATGCTCTGTGTTTGTGTTAGCTGGCATCTTGCACGCTTTTTTTCTGTACAAAGAATTTCTCTTACTCGCGCTCTCCGTCGTCACATGCTGTCTAGCCTTTCCCTGTTATTTTATTATTTTGTAATAGATTGACTGCAGGCATGATGCTAGCAACTTAACCGATATTTGTCAATGCTTTCATTTTGTTTATAGCCGAATTGCTGCCAATCGCTGCTCTTATTTGTCCCGTTGGGTAATATTTCTACGTTATTGTATGTTGATATAGCCTGAACAATCACCTTCACGGTTGTTTGTGAGTACGTGCGTCTTGTGCGCATATACACATATCGATCCAGTTGCTTTTGTGGATTCTGAATGTGTGGATGCATGTGCCTGGGAAGTAGTTGTGGAGCGAGATTGTAAGCTTGTGTCTGCAGCCTGCCGTGCTGTTTCTGATGAACCACGGCTTCGTTCTAAAGAGATGTCTGAACAAATTACATCAAGAGTCCATAACCCCCGGGGGGTTATGGACTCTTGATTACATGCATGCTGCTTTTGCCGGGCCGAGCCACGACGCTGGTGTGTACTTGTGTCCGTATGTGTTGTTTGTTTTTTGCTTGAGTGTCTGGATTTGTGAGGATGGAGCAAGCGCAGATCAAGGGTGTTCTTCAGCAAGTGCCCGCCCCCAGATCGCAGACCCATGGCCCAAGAGATTTGTCTGAACCAGCGATTTTTCGAATGCCTTCTGGGATTGTGGATTCTTCACCTCGGTCACGTATTACAGATTCCCTGGCCTATACTGCACCATCTCCACACGGCTTCCGTGTATAGTGCTGAGAACTGCTGACTGCATGCATTGAGTCTTTAAAATTCCGTGATCCAAGCCCCACAATTCTTGTTTCTATAGGAACACAATGCATTGTGCAGTGTGTCAGCTACTAGTATCCAATTGCTAGTGGTTGCACAGAAGGCATGTGCCATCTACACACTGTGGCTCATGACACGCATGTCACGAGCATTAATTTTATTTTACCCTATAGTATAATTCACTCGCGTGTGGCGATCGGTTTAGTTGCATGCGGCGCCAACCATTACCAAACACCGTTATCGCGACACGTTACTTGCTGATACTGAACCAGGTGTATGGTATACATGTAGTAGCTTGTTTGCGCAGCACTGTGAAGTCCACAGTGTGCAGACTTCATTATAGCACTGCATGGCCAGACATGCAGGCAAGCCACGCGCTTAGAGGATGCACAGTGATCTTGCAATACCGGCGGTGCATTCATGCAGGGTTGGGAAGTCCAAATTCTCACGGGGCTGTGCCATGTGAACTTGACTACAATTGTAGTAACACGTCGCGACAATACCCATGCGCGCAGCAGATCACATGAAAAAATTCAACCTCGCATGCATGGCAGTCTCAGTGTCTGGAGTGTGCAAATTGACTTCCCGCAAGCGCCACACACGCAAGCCGCTGAATCTGTAGCATGCAAGTGCAATACTACCACCACTTACACAGCTAGATCATTCACACCATGTGTATATACAATAATTATTGCATGCCTACTATTGTAATAGCACACTACAAGGGCATGTAACATTTTATAAGCTGCTGACCAACATGTGCATGTCCACTCGCAGGTAGAGTGAAGAGTGTAGAGCTGTTAGAAGTAACATATCATGGGTGCTAATGACCACACAATCATGTTAGCCCACATCAATGAATCCAGCAGGTAGCTTCAGTATAAGTCAGTGCAACAAGCCAGTCAGGTCTTTTTCCCCGCAGTTCACGAAAACGAAACAAAGCTCCGTGCATGAACTCTGAAGTAGGTTTTGTGATACTGAAATCTGAAAACGTTTTGCAGAAATTCTTCTTCTTGCCCAGCATAGGAAGAGTGCACTGTACTTTTGAAGCGGTAGTGTAAAGTTTGTGGAATGCTAGAGCAGGATGCCTCGCAGCGTCCTGCCGCAGGACGGCCAGTTTGCGTTTGGGCCAGCGGATAGGGATGACGGTGCGCCAGAGAGATCGGATGACAGTGGAGATAAGGACTCCACGGCATGGAACGGTGAGTTTCAGTACCACCATACTCTAGAGCTGTGCGCCTGTCTATGTGTGCGCGTGTGTGTAAAGCCAGCACACTACAACAGCAGAGAGAACATAATTATACTCTAGGAAAAAAGAAGAGTTCTTGTATGCTATGATTCTCTCAGCGGGTATAGTTGTCTTTAAAAGAACAAAAGAGCGTCAGCATCGACCCGTCTGTATATGCTGCAGCACTATACATGTACTTGGACAGCTGCTCCAAGTGACCGGGCGTGCGAATTACACGCGCCCGGCGCACGATGCAAAGAATTCTCTGGCGCCAGCTCATTTTCCTACGGAGTATAGTCAACAACGTGATTCCATAGAACGCAATGTGCACAGATTAGTTGGACAAAATCAGGCTCAGTGCTGTAGTGGCGTACACGGGAGACTCTCTGTGAGCCCAACGGAACTACAGCGGGGTCACTGGCAGTGGGCAGGTAGATGCTGGGCTGTAACGACCGGACACTCTGCCACAGAGCACACACACGGGAGACTCTCTCTCTGGCTAGCACAGTAAAACTACAGCGGGGTCACTGACAATAAGCCGATAGATGACGGGTTGTAACGACCGGACACACTGCCATAGAGCATACGCACGGGAGACTCTCTCTCTGGCTAGCCCAGTAAAACTACAGAGGGGTCACTGACAATAGGCCGATAGATGATGTGCTGTAACGACCGGACACACTGCCATAGAGCATACGCACGGGAGACGCTCTCTGGATAGACCGGTAAAACTACAGAGGGGTCACTGACAATGGGCAGGTAGACGCTGGGCCGTAGCGACCGGACACTGGCGGTGTGACTGCCACAGAGTACACACACACATACACATGTGTAGCCCTTACCTGCCAGTGACATGTGGCTGGGTAGTACGCTGAGCAGGCGGCGACTAGTGGCCGGGCATTTCACAGCGCGCTGCAACACTCACTCCAGGTCTGGGAACACGGACGCACACATCATCATCAGCGTCACGACAGCACTTCTCAACGTGCGCTTTGCACGGTTTTCCGGTGTCGTCGTATCCGGAGGAGATAGGCGGCCGACTAATCGTATTCATGGCCGTTGTTTCAAGACAGCAATTCAGGGCAATCCTGGCCCGGTGTAAGGGTAGTAGATATGCATCCAGAACACACGCGTCAGAGCCACGGCAAAGCAGCACACTACTACTAGTTCTTGCCGAAATGCGTTTGACATTTAAATCGTAAGGTTCTGAGGCTTTGTCGTGAGTTTCTACAGGAGTAGTGTTGCGTTGGGCCGCTGAAAGAAATCACCCTTTAGACTTAGCAACCTCTTAGCAATGTGTGCCCAGGATTTAGCAGAAATGCCCGTGCTTTCTGCAATCGTGTACGGCGAGGTCCGGTCTTCTAGGAAAAGCTCGTGATTACAAACGTTGGTTCAGCCCACAGCAGCATCAGTACTCAAAGCGTTCAGCTCAGCTTCGGCAGTGTCGAGAATGGCGTGCTGCTGCAGCGACAGCGTGGCCGCTGTTCGCGCGTTGGCCGACGAGCCGTCGCAGCGCACGATCCCATTCAGCTTCTCTCTGGACGGCAGCAGGTGGCAACGGGCGGCAGCACACAAGCACACGCCAACGCGACCCTTCAGCTCGCGCCGCGCAACATCGGCCAGTGTTCGTACACCATACACATAAGCATGCCAGCTGTCGAGCTCCGCCGCGTCCAGAACGAGAATGTCCAGCGCCGCGAGAAGCTTCCAGCCGCAGCCGTCGGCAGTCGGGTTAACCGTGTCCAGTTCGGCTTCAACAAGAATCTGACTGCGACGCCGATCGCACCAGAGCGCCGCTACGAACGCATGCTCACCGGCCGCAAGCGGTATCAGTTGCAGCAGGCCGAGCATGACGCTGCAGTGAGGATTGTCGTCGAGAACGAACCCATACTCCAGCAGCAGCCGTTGGTTGTCGTGGGGACCGTAGCAGATGAACACCTCGTCACCGTGACGATACCGGTCCTGCGTGACGATATCGTAGCGCCGCGTCGAGCTATTGTATCCGGCCGTGACGCGTGCACCGGGCGAGTGATTCAGAAAGTCAAGATACGGAGCTAGTGCACAGTTGCCGGCCGACGTGTCGCCATCATCCGTTGCCGGGTTACCAGTGCTGCTCTCACTCAGGTACACAGTCCTGGTGTTGACGGCGCACCAGGCGTTCAGGAACCGCTCGTACTGCAGGTCTGGCACGAGCGTCGTCAGTAGCTTGGACGCGCGCTCATGCTGCTCCACCAGATGCGAGCGCTGCGTACGGACACGCTCCAGCAAGGAGAGCGGCAGCAGTGCTAGCTCGTCAGCCGCAAAACACACCGGCAGTTCGTACGCGTCGGGCAGCACGTCAAGATAGTGGCTCCACTGCGACGTGGATCCCTTGCTACGCTCCACTAGAATGAACACAGCCAGTATGGATACGTCATCCAGACCAGCAGCATTGCTGGACTTGTCCATCGTGTCCTGGTGTATTTCTACTTCTAGCTGAAGCTTCACGTCCGCGCACGTCACCAGGCGCTGCCGCGGCACCGAGGCGATGCACTCACCAGGCTCGATCCTCCTCGTGGCCATCATACCGCGCCCAGTGCCGGGAAACATTGCCGGACGCAGCAGCTGGCTCATACCAGCTCCTACCGAATGACTCCATTGTAGAAATCGAACGCAGCAGCGGGATGTAACCGGCACCGCTCGCTTTCCGCAGGAAATCCTCTGGCGATTACGCCTGCGTCGAGCTCTTCCATGTCCCATCAGCAGCAACACAGGCCACACACTCCGAAACCATCCTTTCGAAATCGAAAATGATCCAGAGTAGATCTACAAAAAGGTTTATACCAGGGAGTCGTAAAATACCATTTTACGACTCCCTGGTTTATACTATGTACTACACACAATCAATGACTTGAATAGCAGAAAAAGGTCTTTTGAAAATCAAAAAGAGTGCAAAAAACATGACAGTCGAAACTGCTTTTTTGTGCTTTTTCGCGAGCGAAACATGCCCAGGGATTTCCCCTTCGTGAAAGGATCTGTTCGATTACCATGATTACCATGAGCATGAAGAATGATGATGACTGTGTGCATCATGCTAAATCAAAATGATAGTTCCACGCTCATCCACCGGCATGTCTTGTATCAACTCCACTCTCCAGACCAGTGACTCAGTCTGAAAAGCGTCTGTAAAGCATCCTTTCTTTCTTTCAACATCATGGAGTCGTGAGAGAAGGTGCGCAGCAGATTTCAGTTCCCAGGCAGTTGTCTAAAAATCAGCACATAATAATTTTGATCTTGGTAGAATTTTCTCAGTCCCTCACGATGGCTTGAGTGCTTTCCTGTACCGTTGGACGATATGGGAAGAAAGTGCGATTCCTGCGGGGATCGTCTCGCTGATGGAGTCGCATCGTGCAGCAAGTGTACAACTCACCAGCACCAGCGCGAAACAGGTCAGACAAGGTGTTTGCCTTGGCAAGGTGTTGTTTCTCTTTAGTCGATATGGTGCTTTCTCAATTCGCGGTCCAAGCGCAAGCCTCGATTTCCTGGAAGGGGAAATTATGGAATTATTTATACAAATAATCTACGTGGCGATCAAAATCATGGAATTATCTATTTTATTTTTACAATGCAAATCAACTCAGCAATGTGATCATAATAACAACAAATTCCCAATGCATTTACATTACACCACGAGTACCTAGACAAGAGTGCAACTCCGCTTGGTTTGGCCTGCGGCGAAATTTTTTGTTGACGTCACCTTTTCCGGAGGTCATGAGTCATACTGTGCGAGGCATGGACTGCGAGTCTGTGGCCACGTGAACTCGGAAAGGTTTCACTAGGGGTGCGTTTGGTTGGTACGATCTAGAACAGGATCGAACAGCTGGTGCACATGGAGCAGCCTCATGCCAACCAAACGGTACTCCAGAAACAGAGCCCATTTTTTGTGAAAAAATGTGCCACACTTGGTGCATTCTTCAAAATGTGTATGGGTTACCATGGTCACATTGTACGGTACAACGAATCCAACCCCAAATCGTATGCACGTGATCATTTGGGACCAAAATCGATGTTCCCGCCAGGTTTCACAGTGAAAAAGTGAAACTGCTCGGTCTGCTCCGGCCTCGGGGCTGGAGCAAGCAGAACATGTTCTGGCCGAACCAGAACAGGTGCAGTCCCAACCAAACGGGCTGTTCTGGTGAATCCTGTTCTAGTTCGTACCAACCAAACGCGCCCTAAGATTGCACTGTAAAAAGCGGGAGATAAAGTTAAATTTTTCGTTTTGAAAGCGGCAAAAACACGAATTTGCGATGAACCTTTTCCGCCCTGGTGCTATTTTTTTTGCTAAATCCCAGTATGCATCTGAAAAATATCTAATTTCACTCACCAGTTTCGTAATTATTTCGTTTTGGTCTCATTGGAAAGCTACAGATGTCCTCTCTCTGAATATCGCCACTAGACACCCAGCAGGAGCAACAGAATCGCCTTCAAGCCTGTTGAGAGCTGCCCTATTGCGCCTGAGCGAGATTCTGTACCCACCTCCACAAATTTTATCGTTTCTCAATTTTTACTCAACGTAGAATGATGATTCAAAGCCCTGCAGATTCATGAAGCTCAAGCAATTCATTCGGTCTCTACTTCGCATGCACTGTGCAGCGATGCGTCACTGGGAAAGTCCCCGTTTGAGGCACGCCGACGCACTTTCAAGCGCTCTGCGTACAAATTTTCGAAACAATTTCAAGCGTATCTACGTTTCGTTCTCGATACTCAGTTATTCCGCATCACGCTATATCAAACGACATACCACTGGACAGCTTATTCTCTCACCTTTCCAATGAGCCATCATTTGTGACGATCGGATAAAGGACAATGGAGTTGCGACAATTTGAACAGTGATGTATACGCACTGTACAAGTATGCGCTTTTACTTGACGCACATATGCGGCATCAGGAAATCAGGGTATGACGTTTTGACGCACATGTGCGGCATCAGTCCGGAAAGGGTTAAGATCTTCTTCCAGCGTGCTTTGCTCGGCATGTGTCATAGGTTCCAGAAAAAAAAGGTGACGTCAACAACAAATGTGGCTGTGGACCATACCAGCTGCAGAGTTTCACACTCTTATTGACATATTCTTGATTACAGAGTGACCAGTAGTGACCAAGTTCTAGCCACACCAAAAATATGAAACCCTGATTGAAGAATTTCAGTGTAGATAATAATCGTTCCTTGGTGATGTTTCTACAATTAGATTCATGATCACAGAATGACCGTGCACTTTATAAGAAAGGAAAAGGACCAAGGAACTACAAGTTACGCTATAATGTCCACTAACACCACCAGTTACTATTTCTTATAAATTAATCCTTAGCTCTCCATCCGAGTCCATTCGTGCACTTTATCTTATTCATTGCAATAATACCAGGCAGGCACAGTGGGTTGGTCAAAGACCATGATTGAGATACGAGAGGTACCTGGTTCAAGTCCTGCCGGGCCTGGGAGCGGTTTTTCCAGCCGTGCTGCTACCCACAGTCAACTGGGAACTTGTGGCCAGGCACAAGGGGTACATGGATGCAGCTATTAAATGGGGTCGTTTTCGGCACTTGTGCCAGTGGTTGTGAGACTTATCCACTCACCCCCACCGTTAGGCGCTGCATCTGCCGCTAGGGTTTATCGGGTGTTAGCGGCCGTCGTGAGTTCCCTTCGGGAACGGACACGATAATTTACTTTTTCTTATTACTTTTATTGCAATAATAATTATTACATCATCTTTCTGTGCGCACAAATTGGGCGTATGAATACGCTGGCAAATGGCTTGCAAAACTCTTTAGCAGAGTCTTTAACCAGGATGATCGCTGCACAAAACTGGTAAACGAGATCCGAACGAGATCCCGAGTACAAATGGAAACAGGCGGGACAAGTGTAGCGTATCTGCCAGCATATTCTAAATTTTTAAATGCAGTTGTGTGATGTCCACCATTTTCTTAGTGAAGCTAGCAATGAATTCCTAAATTGTCTTCGTGAATTTCCAGATTTTGTTCGCTGCATGCGTTGGTGAAAACGCTCTTGGCTACAGTGGCACATGGCTCGCTGTGCTAGTGCTACTGGACTATGGCATATGTAAAATACTGCTCAATGAAATCCAGTTGCGTCGCTCAAGTACGCGCCGGGGGTTGCGCGGCCCCAGGCCTGCGCCACACTGGGCTGCGAAATGGTGCAAGGCGCAAGCGTGAGTGACACGACTGGATTTCATTGAGCGGTACTATACATACATACATACATACATAGACTATGTACATACATACATACATACATACATACATACATACATACATACATACATACATACGGAGAGCTCACTAACTTGTCAGTTTGAGCACTCTGGCAAGGTACGTTCGGGCCTGATTTAAATCTGGCTTTGGATATTTTATTTTCATTGCTATCAGGTTCGGCCTCATTTTCTCTGTGCTGCGCTGAGGAGTTCACAAAGAATGAAACAGCATGCTGTCCGCAGATTGAGTACATACATACATACATACATACATACATACTTTCTGCTGGAATTCACAACAGTGTACATACATACATGCATACATACATACATACATACATACATACATACGCGGAGTGACTTTGGGATGAGTGTAGTGAAGCGGGCGAGCATTTGGAAACAGCTGGTGCCCTGGCTACACCTGTTGTAGGACTTCGGTGACCAAAAGTCATTAGGCATGGTTTCCGGTGGCATGTAGGCCGAAAGTTTTAATGCTGAAGATAACGTGATAAAAAAGTGCTGGTCGTGTACTTTTCAGACACCTCATGGATCTGTGGTGACACAGGCCCTCGTACACCACAAACTCGTGGAAATCGACACGACAGAGGGGTTGCCACCATTGTACGAATGTTGGAAATTATGCATGAGAATTGCATACTCTGGGTTGGGGGGGGGGGGGGGGATGTATTCTTGGTGTTACGGGTACGTTATCCCTTGCACTTACTGGTACTTTTAGAATCATCTTGATAAAGGCCCTGCCTAAAAGCGGCCATAACTCACAAGGCTTTAGGGGCCGTCCGTAAATATCGAACTTTTTTCACCAAACGAATTATTTTAGTTTAGACCCAACCCCTCCCTCCCTCCCCCTCAGAACGTAAAAATTGTTGACATATACATGCATATACAACAAAAGTGGCAAGTGTGTCACTGCTCCTATGGCCATGTACATGTATCGAGCTTTTCTGAAACGAAATTGGTCAACCCCCTCCCACCCCATAACGAAATTATTTCGTTTCGTGAAAAAAAGTTCGATAATTATGGACGACCCCTTATTCGGTATAATTCTGGTTTGTCAATACAGATAATTGGAAGAACAGTTAAAAAAAAAGAAGAGTTATGATCGCTTTTGTGTCTGTGGGTTGTAAAATGCCTTGGTCTTTTTTGGGTCTACATGTATAGACGGACTATGAGGTCCATAATCTACTACTGTAATAAATCGTCTTCTCTAAAAAGGAGTCAATATAAGCAGTCTAATATAGTGCAAACTTGACTACTTGTACTGTGTGAGTCATCCCGACTCGGATCTGATCAAGGTACGCTAGCAGCTGGCTAGAGGTAGACCTACCAATGGTACTGGGAAATGGCATGTCACTTGCGGTGCGTGTAGGCAGACTGGTTGAACCCGGAACCTCAGCGTTTTCCGTCGAGTTGCTGGTCCAGAGTGTCCCACGCCAGCTGCGGAGACTCCGACACAGAACCCGTTGTCGACTGCAATGCCAGTGCAGGCTGTGTCCTCTGTGGGTGAGCATGGTGAAACAGGCACACGCCGAACAGTTTGAAACTCTACAGGATTTACAGTACTGTAAAAGCAGAAATTTTCGGTGGTGTTTTATTTTCGGTAACTTCGGTGCCGAAAATTTTTACCGAAAATAAAACCACCGAAAATTTCGGTACTCTATACATGTGGTACTAGTACACTTACCTGGAAAACGGGTTTACCGAAAAAAATTATCCGCCGAACCGCCGATTTTGGAGAATACCGAAAATATTACACCACCGCAAATTTCTGCTTTTACAGTAGTGCCAGCCCTGGCAACCGTTGGCGAGTTTCGGCATCTTTCCTTCCTCCTTGGCGTGCAGTTTTCACAGGCTCTGTTGGATTCTCAGCATTGGCAATTGGCTCCACACTTGTCACTACACTGGCAACACTGGCTCTCAGCAGTTGCGGAGCTGCTCACTAGGGGCATTGTGGTGCGAAAATCCGAATGTCTACCATGCAAACATAGTCGCAGGATGGGCTCGGGCAGGAGTGAAAAAAACCTGCTGTTTCTTCAGTAAAAAAGAAAGAAAAAGAAGGCTGCCACTCTGAAGCTTCTTTGATTGCGCATGTTTGTGACGCCTTTCTGTGCTGTTGTTCAATGTTTTACCTCTGTCTCTCTGTGTCTCTCTCTGTGTGTCTCTCT